GGGTTGAAGTGTTCTGGAACAGTGTTGTAAATACAACTTAACCACTGATTTCTAGTCGTGTCCTCTTTTGGAAGGCCTAACAAAGTAGTTTCGCTTTCACAACGAAACAGCGTCACACGCGGTGGCATAGAGTGAGCGGCGGCGGCCTAGAGTGAGCAGAAGCCGGGGGCTAGTGTGAGCAGAGGCCGGAGGGCTTGAGAACGGCGCGGCCGGCGGATTTGACGAAGGAGCGGCCGGTGGGCTTGCAGCAACCACATGTGACGACCCCGGGCTGGACTCCGCTTCGTACACAGGCTTTGCGTTGCGTATTGCACCGCGTAAACATAAAACCATATCTGCATTTGTGATCGGAGAAATGACAAACAATAAGTGTTACTCTACACTGCTCAAACTCGCGTTTGAATCATCAGTGGCGAATTCTTTAAATATAAAAAACATACTTACAGTCTGTGAGAACAGCCGGCATTGTAGTCTACTCTACCAGGATCAGGAAACAGTCCTCCATAAAATGTGCTGCACACATCTGAATATTTGGGTTGAAGTGTTGTGAAACAGTGTTGTAAATACAACTTAACCACTGATTTCTAGTCGTGTCCTCTTTTGGAAGGCCAAACAAAGTATTTTCGTCTTTGCAACTTTACAGATCTTCTTTATGCACCAAGCGCTTGTATCACTCCAAAGAGAAAGGAAAAATTGAAATCGCATCATATGTCCCCTTTAATTTCTCCTGTAGGATCTTTTATTGACTCATGTAATCTTATTGTACATTGTGATTTTTAAATGGAATTTCACTTTGTCCTGTAGGATCTTATTTGATTCTGTTAATTCATTACTTTTTAAGAGTAACACCACTTGTGTGTGTGTGTACTTGTAACCCACAATAAAAATGCAGCCTACATAAATAAACAAAAATAAACACTGAAATTCATAATACAGTAAGGCAAAGATAATAAATATGATATTTCATAATTATGAATAAGTTAAAATATATTACATGTGACTAAGAATTCATAGAGAAACAAACATCTATATATGGTATTGTCCTGACGCTTCCCCTTTAAGAAATCTGAATGTAGTGCGCGTGCAACTGTAGCGCGCATACTTTGAACATTAACGGTCAAAGAAGCTGAGAAATCGAGTGATTAACGTTGTTTAACTTGTTAAAAGTTTATTTAAAGACGCTAAAAAGGAAGAAATAGTAATACTTATCTGATCTGCATCCAAACGATGAACGTTTGTTCTTTGGGTGTTGTAAATAAAGTTATACAGCTACAGTTGTGTTGCTGTTGTAAAGTTATACAGCTACAGTTGTGTTGCTGTTGTAAAGTTATATAGCTACAGTTGTGTGTTATACAGCTACAGTTGTGTTGCTGTTGTAAATAAAGTTATACAGCTACAGTTGT